GAAATGCAAACTAGGGTCTGGTGCGGTGGCTCATGCCTATAATCCCAGCACTTTGGGAGGCTGAGGCAGGCGGATCACTGAGGTTTGAGAATAGCCTGGCTAACATGGTGAAACCCGTCTCTACTAAAACTACAATTAGCAGGGTATGGTGGTGTAATCCCAGCTATTCAGGAGGCGTAGGTAGGAGAATTGCTTGAACCTGGAGGCAAAGGTTGCAGTGAGCCAAGATAGCGCCACTGCATTCCAGCCTGGGCAACAGAGCAAGACTCTGTCTCAAAATAAAAATAAAATAAAAAAATAAAGATTTGCAAACTATCAGTCCTCACCCCAGGCCTTTTGAGTCAGAATCTGCAAATACCAAGATCCCCTGGGTGATGTAGGTGATTTATTTGTACATTAAAGCTCGAGCATCCCTGTGCTGTTAAGAATGCTTCAGCTTCATGGAAGGTGTGGGACTTTGGTGGTTCTTTGAGATAATAACGTTTGATCTTGGCAAAGCAGAATGCATCCCCCCGCCTTTTTTTTTTTTTGAGACAGAGTCTTACTTCATCACCCAGGCTGGGGTGCAGTGGTGTGATCTTGGCTCACTGCAACTTCTGCCTCCCAGGTTCAAGCAGTTCTCCTCCCTCAGCCCCCTGAGTAGCTGGGTCTACAGGCCCCTGCCACCATGCCCGGCTAAGTTTTGCATTTTTAGTAGAGATGGGGTTTCACCATGTTGGGCAGGCTGGTCTTGAACTCCTATCCTCAAGTAATCTGCCTGTAATCCTAGCCTCCACCTCCCAAAGTGTTGGTATTACAGTCATGAGCCAACATGCCTGGCCATAGAATGCATCGTTTATAGGAGAATGGCAAGCAGGGATTAGCCTGACCAAAGTAGAAAGTCTGGAGGAAAGGAGGAGTAACAGAGTGTGAGAGGATCCCGAAATTAGAGGGTCTTGACAGCTAGGCAGAAGAATTTGGCCTTGATGCAGTAGGGGCTGTTACAGATTCCTGAGCAAAAGAGGAACATGATAGCAGTGAGAACCAGGCACAAAGACATTCTCACTTAAACCTCTTTTTCTCCTCCCTCAGCCCTTCCTGTTCTCCAAGTTCCTTCCCTTCCCCTGAAGGACAGCCAGGAGCTGACAACTTCACTTCTCTCAACTGGGTCCCAGGTGAGCTGGCACCCCTTTGCCCTCAGAGAGGACCCATCCTGAACCTTCACCAGGAGTTCTGTTTCTTTAACCAGTGACCAGGCCCATCTTGGGTTGGTGCCTTCATTTTTTTGGCCTTTTTCCTTTCTGCCCAGTCCTTTCCTGCCCTCTTTGAGGCACAGTTCCTCCCCATTTCTTTTCTTCATGAGCCCAGCTCTTCCCCTCACTCCAAATTTGGACATAGGGAATGGGAATTTAGTAGAGATCTCCTGTTTCAGAAGTTGGTGAAAATTGAAGAGGTCGCTGATGTGGCTGTATCCTTCATCCTGGAGGAATGGGGACATTTGGACCAGTCCCAGAAGTCCCTTTATAGGGATGACAGGAAGGAGAACTATGGGAGTATTACTTCCATGGGTAAGAATTATTTCATCTGCATGGATTAGGACATCTTTATTTTGTTATCTTGTAAAGAGTATTTCTAGCACATCCTATGAAAGCATTTATGTTTTATGTGCTATGACTTGGCTTTTTTTATATAAAAGAATAAATCAACCTTCACTTTTTTTTCTTTATTCAGCTTATTCTCATTATTTTTATCTTAATAAGAGTATGATTAAACACTGATAGTACTTGGGGATTGTTTTTGCAATCCAGCAAATGCTGACTTTTTACTGCTTTACAAGAAGAGTTGGCTAGGTGTGGTGGCTCATGCCTGTAATCCTAGCACTTTGGGAGGCTGAGGTAGGAGGACTGTTTGAACTCTGGAGTTTAAGACCAGCCTAGGCAACATAGCAAGATCCTGTC